TCATATATTGGGACTGATAATAAAGACTTGATTCAATCCTATAAATTTTGTTGAGAATAGATATTTCACAGCATCAATTGTATAATACTACAGCATGTATTCCAATCATAAGTTTTCAAAGTATATTTCATTAGTATTACTAACAGTCAGTATCAGGTACTCGTATTCAGTTATACAAGTTGTCCATCAGTTTAGCTGCTACAACTTTGTTATACATCACAACTTGAGGTGCTTGAATTCCTGTATATTTGTCGCTCATTTTTTCAAAGGATAGATAAATAAAAATAAGCCAAGAACTAAAGTATTTATGATAGGATTTTCCAGTATTTTGAATCACAATGATTTGTAACCCATTTATAGCAACTCGTGAAAATGTACTATTAACGTTCCTAATTATTCAGTTTAAACAAATTTAGAATAGGTTGATTTATTGAGATACTCGAGCAGTTGGAAAATAAGTGTCGCAAACGTATGAGTTAGTCGCTAATTTCGGTCGGTAGGTTATTAGATGTTTTGTTTAAAAAATATCACTTGTAAAACTTATAGTAGTCAGGTTACACTAATCAAAGTTTATTTAAGTAATATAGTTAATACATCGAATGTGAACTTCAATTATGACATTTTACTGGACAATATTTATTGTAGTTCAATCGATGGCTAGTTGATTACAAAATAATCATATTTGAATTCATTTACGAAATCTTAAGAGCTATCATCAAAGGTCGGATGATTAGTTACATAAAAATAAATGATACCGTGCATAAAGGAAATCTGAGTCTGAATTACATTTCTAAAAATGTTAACAGTTATAAAAAAAGACAAAATCGTTCCGGTGTTTTGCCCAGTTTCTAAAAAACTATCAAGAAAGAATGGCATAATATAAAATATTAACATGAGAAGTCTTTTGCACTGTTAGAAACTAACAAGGGACAATTGACATATTATTCCTAATACCGTTTAAATAATATAAACTTAATCTCGTGCCAAGTGAATTGCTTGAAAAGTAAGTTCCACGTCAAATTAGTCAGTTTATTATCTTATTTCATACAAATAGGAGTGAGGTGTAAAAAAACGATTTTAATAAGTATGTTAGTGATATATATATACTTCTAATCTTAGAATAATTTGCCCTAAAAGAAAGTTGAGTCCTCACAGACATTCTGCCTTATATTATCTTTGAATGAAGTCATTAACAGTGTGATGATGAATAACGTACAATAATCAGAATGTATAATCTATAGGCTACATTTTTAAATGATTTTTGAATTTCTTTGACAATTTGCTGAATGTAATACTTCTACTTGCTTATTTTAAGTTCAAAACCAGTAGGTTCGTTTGTCATATTAGTTTCCCGTTTCAAAACTTCGTCACATAAATAAGTGTTTATGTATGTGTTTTCTTCATACAAAATAATTATGGTGTGAATATGGATTTTATTTTCAGACTAATTAACGACAAGACAAAATCAATGATAAATCGTTGTTTTCCATAAAAGAGTCGTCATTTTAACAGTTGATAGAAAGACAAAAAAAGACACATACTCTGTAAATACTTCAGGGATAGAAAACTAGCATACTAAGAAGGACAATTGATAAATAAATGAAAATAAAACCAAATTATTCCAAATTACTGATTCTATTAAATAGTACAGATCAATAGACTACTGTTAACACTTAAGGTTAATCATGATTTAAGGTTATTATAAGTTATTTTTTTTAGAATTTAAATCGAAGATAGTCTTATAATTATTCATATTTTTGGACAAGATTCAAAGAATAAGAACGGAAAATAATAAGGAATGTGAACATTGGATTATTCCTAATAGATTATAATTTTCTAATTAATAGTTGAGCCAAAGTGAATATGTATTATCATGTATGCAAAAGTGGTTTAAAGTTGTTAATTTGGTACTCATTGTTGGGAGTCTTTTATATATCTTCAGAATTCAGGAAAATGCATATATAATATAGACTAGACTAAGAATGTTATTTAATGCGGAATATGGTGAAATTAAGATACTAAAAAATTCACATTGCATTTAATTACTATTATTGAATAACCATATATTTTTATCTTTATAGTATAATAACCGTAAAGGGTGCCCGTTAAAATGTATATCTCTGTTAAATTCCCTAACCTCAAACATTTTATTGATAGTGAGATCGAAATATATTACGTACTTACGCCTGTTACCACCCATGGAGGACCATAGGCCGCCCACCAGGATTCTTCAACCTACTCGGTCCTGGGATCTCCTTTACATTTGTTTACAAGTGCCACTCATCCTTTTGATGTCTGCCTTCAATTACGGTGCAATGTGTTCTTTGGTCGACCGCTTTTCATTTAGTTTTAAATATTTCAAGTACGGGGCTTGCCTCATGATGCAGTTTAATGATTTCGGTAATATATATCCTATTTACCTATAGTGTCTTTTCCTAATTTTCTCCTCATCTGGAAGTTGGTTTGTTCTCTACCACAGCGAGTTTTCACTGATGGCATCTGGCTAACGGATATTTAGTATCTTGCGTAGGCAACTTTTTATGAATATTCGTATTTTTTATGATGGTTATGGTACTTCTACAAGTTTCAGCTCCGTACAGTAAAACTGTATGTATTGAAGATTGTGACTTTGATATTGATTGACAGTTGTTTTAAGTTCCATATGTTCTTCAACTGTAGGAATGCTGTACTTGCTTTGCCAATCCTCGCCTTTATATCTACATTATATTCTTATTTTTATCAGTGGTACTGCTCAAGTATGTAAAGCTTTTTAAGTGTAATTTGACTGCTACGCGCTGTGTCGTATTCTAGGATCTTGAGTTTTTCTTTGTGTATGTTGAGGTCTATTACTTCTGAAGCTGCCGCGACATTGGTTAGCATTTTTGCATGGTTCTCTTCTACGGGATGGGGTAAGCAACCCCACCTAGGAAGATCTGAACCAAAATGAATACCAGATAAATGTGTTTTGCTTTTCATTGATCAATCAAATTGGATTCTTACTACAGGAATTTTTTGTAGCTAATAATTATTTAGATAGTTAGTAGCATGTGTGTCTTAATTATTCGTTTTTATCTGTATTTGATCATCTAGGCTTTGCTTCCTAATCATTGTTTTGAACTATTCATTTCCTTATGAAAGAGTAATTCAAATTTATACTGATTATCTGATGGAATAGAAATCGTTTAGATTCCTTACAATATGAGTAATTAATGTTTCTTTCATGGTGTGACCGTATAGATAATAGTGAACCTAGTTGGATATAACAATACATCTATTTTAAATTACATACTTGATAGAGAATAACTGAAGATAGAGTAAATTAAATATTTTTATATAATACTAAATATACTACTTTTTATTCAACGTAAGTTTATATTCACATAATTCCAAAGGATGTCAATCTTTTCTTAAGGAATTGTATTGCCTTATTATTGATATTAGGTCTGCAATTGATCAACCTCTATTGGGATAGGTGCACCATGAGCGGATTGGCTCAATATCGCTTTTTAGTTATAAGTTTTTAGTAAATATGGGTTGTGACTGGCAGTGGTATCCAAGAGGTTTGTTTTGTCCTGTTTCTGACGCTTCATCTGAATGTCCTTCACTCCATTGTAGATGCTTACACAGGGACTTGAATTTAATACCTATCACTCCAAACATCAACGCATCCGTAAAGACATTAAGTTCAGATGAATACTTTCTCAATCTCTAAGAAATTATATATAAGGGTTTGTACTTTTCCGTTATTGATAATAAGGATTGATATTTGACGAGACATGTATTTGATTCAGTTCTTGATGTGAACATCTAGGTGACTGATCTGAAATAAGATAAAACGCTTATCATTGATTTCCTTTCTAGCCACAATCCAAATATTAGTCCTATTTCAGTTAAAAACGAACACTTCAGATTTATTAAACGCTTTTCAAAATACTACTGATATTATCAGTATAATTTTGGAGATACACTTTCATTCAAGTGATTAATTAGGGCTCTGAGAAATTCTTTTGTCAGTAGTATGTTAAATATTCAGTATATGTATATAAGCTGACCATTTAAAATAATTAATTTAGATTATGTATACCGTTTTGACCAATAATTATATTTTCCATGTATTCTCTCTCCCATATACATATATGTATTCCTGTAGTATTAATACATACGTACACAGTTAGAAGCAATGATTGATTAATTTTATTATTTAAATTCTCAAATCAATTAATTAGCCAGGTAATTTGGTGAATTGAATATTTATTTAACTGGTGAAGGTTGATAGGAATTCATTTTAAACTATTATGATATATAATGAACTAGGATGATTATACTGGCTTCAATTAGTTTTCTTAATGTATATGAAAGGTACTTGGTAATTCATTTACTGATTTAATAATCACCTGTAATCAGATGAATGTACGTTTGTATATATATATTGATGGACTTTAATGAGAAATACAAACTGTTTTGTATCGATTGTAGTGAGATATCCATCTTCATCATATATCGTTATATTAATTATCATTATTATAAATATTATAGCTTCATAAAATAGCATAATATGTTTAAAAACATAGAGAATTTAAAACAAGAACATAACCAAGATAATCAATCCGATGAAAATTATAAATTATATCCAGATAAATTTGAAACCTTATACTTAATGGATTCTGCCAAAGAATTACTTCATCCATTATCTAAAAATTATAGTATATCTGAATCTATTTTATCAACATCTATTGTGGATATCAATCGAGTTAATAATATACCAACAATAGATATTCATCCACAATCTACAATACATAATTTTCTACCCTCTAGTCAAAATTCTAATAATTCTCTCTCCTCATCTGAATATATCATGCGAACAAATAGTTTAACAGGTAATATATCAACCAATCCGCAAACTGTATCATTTCAGTTATCTAACAGTATAAACAATTCATCCAATATACTAATTGGTGATGAAAATACAGACGCTAATCAAAATTTATTAACCAATCAACAATCAACATCATCCCCATCAAATTATATGAAAATTCAAAATTATTTGTTGAAAACACTTGATAGTCCACATGATTTAAGTTATGCTAATTCGTCTGCAACTATTTCACAATCATCACAAATAAAGTTAACCAATAATTGTAATTCACTAGATTTATCTGATCAACTAGGTATAACAACATATATTGATGAAAATGGTCAAAATTATATTATCACAACATCATATGGTAATCAATCCAAGTTAAAACAAAAACAACATCATATTCAAGATCCACGGATTGAATTAAATTTCTTATGTAATCAAATCAATAATAATGCTATGATATCATCTTCATTCAATGATTATAGCAATAATATTAATAATAGTAATAGAACAACAGAAACTCAACTTCCAATATTAACAAGTAGTATATCAGAACCGTTTTTATCAAATTTATCAACAGATCTCATGACAAGTTCATCCATTGATTCTACTGTAGCAGCTGCATCAAACGTGATGAATTATATTTATCAAAATGGTTCATTAAATTATGGTAATACAGAACAATTAAAAAATCTAAATTGTTTAAATATACGTACATTAAATCATTGGAATTCACTTGAGTTTAATTTAAATGGAAGCATAGATCAATTGACAAATTATAATAATTCACAGTTATATGAACCTAATACCACTAATTCTACTACAATAACTACTACTAGTAATAATACTGATAATGCTGATAATGGAACTATCAATACTAGTAATAGTGATACTAATAATAATGATAATAATCACAGTTTATTAAGAACAGATGATGCAAATAATTTATTGAAACTTCATCAATCTAGTCAACAGCAACAATATCCACTACAACAATTACAGAGTGCAAATAATTCCATTATTTTGCATTCGAATACTGTACAATCGAATAATGTAAAAAATCATAGTGGTTTAGGTACCCCATTCATTATTGAAGATGTTAAACCAAGATTTCAAGAAAGTAATGCCATTAAACACAATCATAATACTAGTCCTGCAATAAATACTACACAAGACTCTACAACCGATATTATGGTTGGATTTAATAACAATACATCTGTAAATCATCAATCAAGTCATGTAAATGATGTAAATATGAAAAATACCATAGATAATTTAAACAATAATAGCAGCAACATAAGCACTAATAATAATAATAATAACCAACCAAGAACTATTTCATTCACAGGAAATTCAAATTACAGGTCAAGTCAATTACAAAACTGTTATAATTATATTCAGTCTGAAGTGAATTATAAGCCTGATCTGAAAATTCAAACATCAAGTATGTATTGGTTAATTATTATAGACTAATGTTTTGAAATACTAGACTTGATAACAATTGTTTTTATTACTACGACTGTTTACATAAGTAATAATCGGATAGATCGATTCTTATTGTAGGTTATATTCACCACGGATTGTTTTTAGTTGACGTATCATTGAAAATCAGAGAGGGCTGAGTAGCTTCTTCTTCGAAGTATGAGTTTCCTCAATTTAGACATTTCGGAATTGAAACAGTTATCACTGATGGTATTCAAAGAGTATCACCTTATATCTCAAATTGATTTAAATTGTAATAGTACAGCTGGACGCCGACCCATTGATTCTTATTGTTAAGTGTTCAACGAGAGATTTGGAGTTCCTGGCTTTGACTCCTAAAAGGGCTGTAGATCTCTGCTCCTGACAAGTCCCATACTAAGATGAAATACCTGGCCGGTTTGCTTTGGTTTACACCATTACACAACTGGAGTAGATTATAATCATTTACACTGAATTAATAACAGGCAAACTTGGGATTAGAAGCTTTAAGTTGCCAAGTCAATATATGACTAATTTATCTTTGAAACTCGATGCATGATTGCAGTGTGATATGTAGAATGACTGTTTTGGGATAAAAATCGTACCGCTAGCAATAATACATTTTTTTATCGAGTTGAATAGATTAAAACAATCTGAAAAGACCCTTTGTGAATAAAGACTATAATCCTTCGAAGCATGATTGAAATAATTTAGTCATCTATTAACTTATACGAAACTTTAAAATCAATGCTAGTTTACTATGATTGGTAAAATTATTTATCCTCTGTACTGTTAATGTCTATTTTAAACGTTCTATTGCATTACTCTTTCATGTGACTAAATAACAGAGATTATAAGAAATCACTGAATGATTTTAAATGGTCTTTTAATGTACCCAGTATTTATTGATAAGTATTTGTGCAGGTTTCTTTATCACTGTGATATTGACGTAAATAGATAGCTATAACTTCTATAATGTCTACTCAATGTGTTAAATATGTTAGTTCGCTTCCATTTATCCGTTTAAATACTAGATACGTTGTCTTCCTCAACTTCATTTGAATCCGAATAAGTAAATGCTCGTTTCTCAATTACTTTTACATGTGACATTAACTGTTGTAGAAATACAACTCATCCTATTGTTCAATGAATATTACATTCATTCTTTATTTCTTCATGCAGAAAAATAAAGTCAACTTCTTCTATTTGAACACTTCACGAACTTTGACCCATAAAAATTCGTTGCGATTCTATTAAATTCATTGAAATTATGATGTTATCTTGACATTTGAATATATTTTTGTGCATCTGCCTTGATTCTGATCGGTTACTTGATTTACGATATGTTTTGCCTGGAACAGAGTTGATGAAAAGTCGAGACAGGGTTAAAAAAAATGAGTATCACCTGTAAATACCTAGAAAGAAAAGTTCATGACAGCGTAGGTTAACGGTTCCTGGTCGATGGTCTGTGCTCCACGATAGGTAACAGACGTAATATTTGTCTTTAATGTTATGAGAGTAAAAGGTTTTGAGATTGGTTCTGAATTACCAGTGATCCACAGTGATTTATGAAGTTCAACCATGTCAGAAGTGAGGAAATTGTCTAGCGATTACACTGGATAATTATTTCACTGCAAGGTGAATTGAGTGAACTTAGAACTTTCGAGCACTGAGTTTTGACTCAGTTGTGATAATTACTCTGGGTGTATATGAGTTAATAGTTTAAAATTAAAAAGTAGTTTTTATTTTAACTTCGTTAGTTATATCAATACGGAATTTGCTGAATTAACTGTCAGAACTTGAATAATACGAAATACAGTAGACCAGTTAATCTATTATCTATAATCATGACACTTATTACCCCTGAGGTTACAGGTCTCAATGGTTTCAACTACAAAGTTAAAATTTTAAAGTCTTATCAACTTTTAATAAATGGAATGCACCCATTGAGAGATTGAGTAAGAACGATTGGTTCAGCAAAGAGTTCTCTTTTCAACGAATTCATTTTCGAAGCTATACGATCTCAAATATATACTTATTTTTCAGGGTGTTGATGACAATAGTAATGATACTAAACTTCTGTTAGACATGGTAACAGTGAGGTAGAATAAACAAAGTTATTCAAAAATTTTTCTTCTAAACAGGGAAACAAATAATAGTTTGATTATTAAGGGCTTAAATATTCATCAAAAGATAGACAGAGAAATTATCATTGGGAAAGGATGGCTCAGCATTATCAACTTTTCTCCTTCGCGTTTGAGACTATAATAATATCGGTCATCAACTAAGTAACTTGCTTTCTGATCTCACATTCGACCTCTCTCTCTGACTCTGAGAATATAGTTCAGTATTTTAACTACGCTGTGCAAACAGTACACTAAATAGTCAAATAATTTAAACTTTGAAAGTTAAAACAAAATTTTAAGCTTATTTCTTAATAATTAAGAAATGGTCATTTCCAAATATCATTACAGCTGAACAGGTGAAAAACTTTTAACGAAACTTTCCTTTACCATATCACAGACAAGGTTGAATTTTGTATTTTGTTTTAATATAAAACGAGTTAGTTATACATTTTGAAGTGCAACGCCATTTTCGTTGAAATTCATAAGAGGTCCATCAAAATTCTAAATAATTATTCTCTTTGATGAATAGACTAAACTATTGACAAGGTTATTAATCATAGTTTTTCTCAAGTGTTTTTCTAAAGTGACCATTCGTTATTAAGTTCAAACTAAGTTAAAAGGTTAATTACCGTAAACAAATAATTAATTAGCTGGAGGTAAGTGCATAAAGGTGAAATGATAATATTTTTTATTATTTTGGTTATTTAATATAGTATAAATTGATGCAATATTACTTGTTTTATTGAAATCAACACTGAGAGTTTAAGCCGCACTAAAGTTTGAAGAACATTGTAGTCGAGTATCCTGAGGAAAAGTTTGTTTTATCTTACTTTGAGGTTGTGAAACATGGCCTTTAGAAATAGAAGACATTCCTAATTCACTAATATTTTATCACAGCTGTCTTCAGGGTATTCCTCACGTATGTTGGAACCACTGAGTAAGTAATGCTAATATTAGATTCTGGATGTTAGATAAAGATGAAAAATCGGTTGGTAAGTTAATGGATCTTCATTGACTGAAATGGATGGAAAGTGTATTATTTATGCCCATCCCCCGCCTATCCCGATGGGCGATATCTACTGGTACAGGAAGCTAGGGTGAACAAACCAAAACGTTACCAACTCTTGGGGTAACTAGCTGCTAGACTGAGTCATGTATACAGAATCATGTTGTCTGTAGGCAATAATTTTGTTGCTACTGATACTATTACTACTTATACAAGTCTGAGATTTATCTTGATAATTTCATCTCGTTGAACTTGCGCATTGCGAAGACTTGAACCGATGCACATATATGTCAGGTTCTACAACGCTTATAACTGACTGATCGGAGTGAAATATATCTAGTTTTATTTAAATAAAAAGATGATGGTTCGTGCAGACTTGTTCAGTTTGAAGTTAATTTTCATTACAAACTTACAGGATAGCTGGATGATCATTGAACACCAAGGGACATTCCTAGTTAATAGTCATTAGCGTTGTGAACTTATGAAAGCAGAAGGGATCACACCTAGAAATTTCGGCTTTCTTGACCAGAACGATAGATTTAGATAACGAATTGGGAATTCAAAGGTTTGGTGTAATTGGTGGTTGATCGCTTCATACCTGACCTGATTTTACGTTGCCAATCAACTTTGGGGAATTCTTCTTGATAATGTTTCTCAATCAGCACATGGGTAATATTAAGACGTGGGGAGCCCATTAAATTACAAGCTGTTGATCTGAACCATGCACCAAAGGTATTTTTAGTGTACATGTGGCAAGTTTTAGATATCTTAGGAACTGTCATTTGAAAACTTTGAATAAGTAGTATGAAAACATAGCACAAATACATTCACTCTTCTATTTTTTATAAACCTTCAGATTTCCTTCCTTAGCTTATATCTTTTTAATCCATTTTAACAACTTTTCATTTCACCAACTCCCTTTTGTGTATCAATTTATAATATAAAAACTTGAACCAGTGTACTTGTATACAAAGTTTTCTAGTACTTGTCTGTAGTACTGTATGATTTTACCAATATTTCTTAAGATGATTAGTAAATAATATATAAGACCAAAAATCAAATCAATGGGAGATACAACAGAAATAAAGAAGTAAACAATGACAGGTTAAAGGTCAACAATGACCAATCAACGTCGAGGTCTACAGGACAAGCTGTGAGCCATATGTGGAGAAATTCGAACATTTGACTTCTACCTGAAGTTTGTGCTGGAGATATCATTCAGAATAACGATGAAATCTCCACGACCGAACCATCCAACTCAGAGAGCATAACTCCATCAAAATAAAACCTTAAGATGTCGTTACACTACATAATGAAAAATTGATTGAAACCAAACTGAAAACTAATTTTTAAAAATGGCAACTGTACTGTTATTATCTTATTTATTCTCAATCGCTGATGCTTATGAAACTATCTTGCCCCTAACCTAGTTTTGATGTAAAAGAAAAATGGATGCTTATTGATAATGGTGATAGTTTTTAGTAATTTATGAAATGCATTTTTGAAAGCCTCTAAACAACCTTCAGTTATTCGTATTATATTTAATGATGAAAACAATTGAGTGATAAAATGAGAAGAGATATAGTTTGTGCTTCTTTTGAAGTAGATTGTTAGAGACCACCTAGATTAGTGTAAAGATGTACGTTATTCCATAATATCTTACTCATTTATTCAGGTGAAAAATATCAAGACTAATTTGAACCAACCAGTGCTCTTATTTTATAAGTTTAGTATAATCATCCTAAATAATACATAATTAAATACATTGACAGTCACAACATTTTCCTGTATATTATCAAGGCAACCTCTGTTGTCATTATCACAGGCATTTCAATAAAGGTACGAAAGTAT